TTTAACATAATAAAACGTTCAATGATAAACCGTTAATACAAAATCAAATTCAGTTCAATAGCAAAGCGTTCAATGACAAACCGTTAATGCAGAATTAGATTCAGTTCAATAACAAAGCGTTCAATGATAGAACCGTTAATGTAGAAGAAAATTTAGTAGTAGCCTCATATATATAAGTCATGGCCAGCGTTTATAAACCTCCCACTGGCAGGCACAGTAGTAACCAATGTTTTATCCCATTGGCAGGATTTCAGTAATAATCAATGTATTATCCCATTGGCAGGATTACATAATGAACTGGTCCTATCAGTAAACATGTCGACATGTGCTAGCGTTTATAAACCTCCCATTAGCAGGCACAGTAATACATGACCATATCAGAGACAAAACCATGCAGGATTTACAAAAGAAATCCATAATTCACAATCAAATCTCAAATTTCAAAAATAACCAGAAAATTCCAAGTGGGCATAGATTTAACAGAAAATCATAATTTACAAAAATTCTCAAATCATCAGAGCAGTCTAGTAAATTCCAAGTGGGCATGCTCTACTCAATGAAAACGAAAATAATTCCATTTCAAATCAATCATGCTTGATGCTAATAAAATCAATTTAAACATTGCCACCATCTCAAAATCAATTTAAAACATGCTTTGAATCGAAGGGCGTTACCATAATTTACTTACCTCACTCGCATAAAACCGAAGACTCAAGCCACATACTAAAGTGCCCCAAGGATCAAGAACCTAACCAAATATTCAAGAATTAATTCTATAAGCAATTTCATTGACCGGATTGTGTATATATATACATTTATATACACAAATACATATATAAATGGTTTCCCAATCTCACGGATAAAACAATGGGGAACAAGGCCTTTATTTCAATTCCAATTTTTTCCCCAGTGAACTCCCAGACAAACAAATGGGAAAAACAAGGCTTGGCAACACAAGAAGTCACGAGATTTATTTATTTTTTTCTCCAAAATTGAACACTAGAATCGGGTTATATATATGCAAAATTACCCATACAAAATTCTCCAATTCTCACGGCAAAAGGGAAGAGCACAGCTTTGGCAAAAATAGGGGCTAAAACACTCAGGATTTTCCTCCAAAATCACAGCAGCCAACTCAAGCAATTTATACATGAATTAAGCTTAATTATGCTCTAATACTACCGAAATTCATCCCCATTTTCAACAGATTTTCAGACAGCATAGGGCAGCAATTTAATAGACAAATTTCCAGCAACTAATGGGTAATTTGGGACTTAAATGGAGCTGCCACTTATCAGAATTCCAGCAAGCAAACCGGAGCTGCAAGCTAAGGGAAGGTCGGCGACAATTTGGGGAGAAATTCGGGATATATCCCAAAAATTGGAGAAACCAAGAGAAATTAAAGTAAACCCAGTTAAATTCAAGGAAGAACAGAGGAAATGGTGGCTGTTTCTTACCCAAAAATCAGAGAAATTCGCACCCACTCCAAGAGCAGCAGGCGGTGAAGACAGAGCAGAGCAGATCTGGAAATTTTCTCTGCAGAGGGAGAAGGTTTCAAGGCTCCAAATCTGGTTTTTGAACAAGAAAAGAACGGCAAAAACCAAGCTTTTCTTACCGGTTTCTCAAAGGGAAGGCTGTCGGTGGTGGCTGGGTCTTTGTTCGGTGCAGTGGAGGAAAAAGAAGAGTAGGCGCGCGGGTGAGGAAGAAGAAAGAAGGAAAAAATAGTGGATCCTTATCCAAATCCTTTTCTCTTTTAAGTCCCTCAAGTTTGGATATTTTAGCTAATAAGCCCCAAAATGATATTTTCTCACACAAAGGTCCTCAACTTAAATGCTAGAATTTCAGAAAATTTGGGATATTACATTCACCCCTACCTAAAAAGGAGTTTTGTCCCCAAAACTCAAATTGGGGATCATTTCGAGTGGTGAATGGCTTCACACAATCCAAGACAAAACAAATGCTCCACCAACTCTTTATGAATAGAATATGGCTTATTACGCTTCCACTGCACCACTCTGATATCAAACCAAAACTAATCATAAAAGCAAGACATTAACTACTTAATAGGATTTATCATGAAATAAGCTACTAGAGGCTGGAGTGATATGGGAAGCATAAGGAATAGAAATAAATCCTGCCAAAGCCACAAAAGAACAATTGTGGGGTTACACTATGAACCCAACACAAGACGAGTTGGCGAAGAATGGCATGGATTTAAAGACGAGTACAACAAAATTTTGAACTCTATCAAAGACAGATAAGCATCCAATGGATATATGGATCATTAATGAATGAACAAGTGCATGGATGCCTTATAAATTCTGCCACCAAAACAAGGATGATAAATAAGCAAGATCATGTTTAACAAAACAATTGAAATCAAGAGATAGATTTTACCAATTAACAAGAGTTAAAAGCTAGACCCCTCAAATGACGTGAAATATCCAGAATAGCATCAAAATGAAATTAGTGGAAAATATGAATGCTTGGAAGAATATTGGAACATAAGAGTGCAAGGTAGAATGCCTCAAAATTTCAGCAACAAAACGGCATTTACTAAGAGTCAAGATCAAATTTAACCAAGCAGTCAAAATTGAGAGACAAGAGTTAATCATGAAACAAGCAATAGAATTCAAGAATTAAGCCCACAAAAGAGATTTCAATAATGACAACCAGAACACGGATTCAAGAGCAGATATAACCAGGATGTCAAGATCTAACACCCCAAGTAACATGAATTAATTAACAAAATAATCAATAGTGGGGATCAAGATACTTAGAAGATTGTTGTCTTCTAATTAAAAGGGCAAACAAAAAATCAAAGCAACCAAATGAAAGAACCATTTCTCTTGGAACAAAACTCTAACACATCAGGTACTTCAAAGACTACCCCTTCACCTCGTAGCTCATGGAGGCTAAGCAGATTTACAATCAAGTCATCCTAGACATCTTAGAGTGAAGTCAAAGCTAAGACATCAAGAATACAAAGATTAACACTTGCAAGAGACAAGAATTAGGATGCCTCATATAGGTATTTTCTAATAATCATCACCCCTCCTAAAGAGGCGTCCATATGAACAAAATCAAAAATCAAGAAGATCAACAGGTATACTAAAACAAGAACTAGCAGAATATGCAGGATTTGAGCAAGAGCAGTATAGAGAATTTGAACAAGAGCAGTATACAGAATTTGAGCAAGAGCAAGGGTCAGGACAAGAATGGTTTTCAAGGACAACTCAAAATAGATTCCAAAAACCAAATATCAATTGATTTTAAAAAAAAAAAAAAGGATGCTAACATGACTTTACTCCAAGCAAGGTTCGAGATAAGATTCCAAGAACAGTGCAAGAATTAATTTCAGACAAGTATTAATTTCAGACAAGTATTAAGATAATGAGGATTTCAATAATCATTATCCATTTCCTTTGGATTTCAGTTTCAAGAACAAGTACAAAGCAATCTCAAGAAAGATTCAAGATGGATTTCAAGAGTCTTAAGCAGTTTCCAAGTATCAAGAGTGTAGAGATTAGCAACAATAAAGAGTTTAACTTTATAACAACTTGCCAATCTTCACAAAAACATGGCAATTTCAATTGAATTGATCACTGTTTTTGATTAACCAATATAGAAAAATGAGCCACATGAAAAAAACCATGAAGCTCCAAATGGAAAAAGTGAAATTTCACTATAAGACTTTGAGAAAGATAATGAACAGCGAAATTACCAAGTTATCCAGCTTCTAAAACGCATCTAGAAAACACACAACATTTGCTAAAATAGCCTTAAATCTCTTACAAGTAGAGGGTTGCCCATCTTCCATTGGTCATGTGACAAACAGAACAAATTTCTCAACCAGTTATGCTGTAGAGACCAACAGAATCAATAGCAAAAGATCTTTGTAACTTCCCAGATTTTACAATTGTGGCAAAAGAGCATACAAAAATTCTATTCAAGTAACAAGTCTAAACAAGTGCAGACTATCAAAAAAATGACCAAGTTTCGAAACAAGGTCTTAAGAACATGGCAGACAAGATTAATTTCATGAATCTACATAGGGTATGAAGGCAGGAAACAAAAACAATCAGATTACCATCTCATCAAAATGGATTAGAAATTTAAGCAACATGAATCAGAATCGTCCCTTATATAACCCCATCACTCGTCTCACCACGGTTCTAAAATCCATTGGCCAGCCAAGTCCTAAACAAATCCTAGGTATTCAATTAAACCTAGGTATTTAATTAAACCTAAGCTCTGATACCACTCAATCTAGAGGTGCTTAATTTAATCCAAAGCTCTTAATTTAAACTTAAGCTCCGATACCACTAAATTTGTCACGCCTCAGAACCCAAATCCGAAGCGTAATAAACACCGTGGTGCACTCGTAAGATGGGCCCCACAAATGCACAAGGCTCGGAACTTAATCATACCATAATCTGATACCACAAAATCTTAAGATAAAATTATAAAATTTTCTCTGATATCATAAAATCTTCAAATAAAGTTTAACTTACAAGATCATGATTTATATCTAAAATCTATGTTCAATTTACAAGATGGCTAACCTTTTAACTCGTCACTCCCCTCGTTTTTCCCCGTCTTTGACTTTGCTTCCTAAAATGGTGGACAAGGAAAAACTTTGAGATAACTCAGTAAGTAATAAGAATAGGTAAAATTTTATGCATGCCAGATAAACAGTTTAACATAATAAAACGTTCAATGATAAACCGTTAATACAAAATCAAATTCAGTTCAATAGCAAAGCGTTTAATGACAAACCGTTAATGCAGAATCAAATTCAATTCAATAACAAAGCGTTCAATGACAAACTGTTAATACAGAATCAGATTCAGTTCAATAACAAAGCGTTCAATGATAAAATCGTTAATGTAGAAGAAAATTTAGTAGTAGTCTCATCTATAAGTCATGGCCAGCATTTATAAACCTCCCACTGGCAGGCACAGTAGTAACCAATGTTTTATCGCATTGGCAGGATTTCAGTAATAACCAATGTATTATCCCATTGGCAGGATTACATAATGAACCGGTCCTATTAGTAAACATGTCGACATGTGCTAGCGTTTATAAACCTCCCATTAGCGGGCACAGTAATACATGAACATATCAGAGACAAAACCATGCAGGATTTACAAAAGAAATCCGTAATTCACAATCAAATCTCAAATTTCAGAAATAACCAGAAAATTCCATGTGGGCATAGATTTAACAGAAAATCATAATTTACAAAAATTCTCAAATCATCAGAGCAGTTTAGTAAATTCCAAGTGGGCATGCTCTACTCAATGAAAACGAAAATAGTTCCATTTCAAATCAATCATGCTTGGTGCTAATAAAATCAATTTAAACCTTGCCACCATCTCAAAAACAATTTAAAACATGCTTTGAATCGAAAGGCATTTCCATAATTTACTTACCTCACTCGCATAAAACCGAAGAGTCAAGCCACATACTAAAGTGCCCCAAGGATCAAGAACCTAACCAAATATTCAGAATTAATTCTATAAGCAATTTCATTGACCGGATTGTGTATATATATATATATATATATTTATATACACATACATATATAAATGGTTTCCCAATCTCACGGATAAAACAATGGGGAACAAGGTTTTTATTTCAATTCCAATTTTTTCCCAAGTGGACTCCCACACAAACAAATGGGAAAAACAAGGCTTGGCAACACAAGAAGTCACGAGATTTATTTATTTTTTTCTCCAAAATTGAACACTACAATCGGGTTATATATATGCAAAATTACCCATACAACATTCTCCAATTCTTACGGCAAAAGGGAAGAGCACGGCTTTGGCAAAAATAGGGGCTAAAACACTCAGGATTTTCCTCCAAAATCACAGCAGCCAACTCAAGCAATTTATACATGAATTAAGCTTAATTATGCTCTAATACTACCGAAATTCATCCCCATTTTCAACAAATTTTCGGACAGCATAGGGCAGCAATTTAACAGACATATTTCCAGCAACTAATGGGTAATTTGGGACTTAAATGGAGCTGCCACTTACCAGAATTCCAGCAAGCAAACCGGAGCTGCAAGCTAAGGGAAGGCCGGCGGCAATTTGGGGAGAAATTTGGGATCTATCCCAAAAATTGGAGAAACCAAGAGAAATAAAAGTAAACCCAGTTAAATTCAAGGAAGAACAGAGGAAATAGTGGCTGTTTCTTACTCAAAAATCAGAGGAATTCACACCCACTCCAAGAGCAGCAGACGGTGATGACAGAGCAGGGCAGATTTGGAAATTTTCTCTGCAGAGGGAGAAGGTTTCAAGGCTCCAAATCTGGTTTTTGAACAAGAAAAGAAAGGCAAAAACCAAGCTTTTCTTACCGGTTTCTCAAAGGGAAGGCTGTCGGTGGTGGCTGGGTCTTTGTTCGGTGCAGGGGAGGAAAAAGAAGAGCAGGCGCACGGGTGAGGAAGAAGAAAGAAGGAAAAATAGTGGATCCTTATCCAAATCTTTTTCTCTTTTAAGTCCCTCAAGTTTGGATACTTTAGCTAATAAGCCCCAAAATGATATTTTCTCACAAAAGGTCCTCAACTTAAATGCTAGAATTTCAGAAAATTTGGGATATTATATTCATACCTTTTCTCCAATCCATTGAATAATGTTGTCCATACCACACATCCAAAAAAAAAAAAAAAATTGAACCATTAGTAATCCAAAAAGAAAATAATACATAAATTTTAAATAGATAAAGTTACAAAATTCTTTCAAAAAACAATTATCATATGTTCTATAAAAAAATTCATAAGAAAATAATAAGACTTATAAGGAAAATAATTTATCTAACAATATATATATTTTGGACTAAGATGAAAAAAGATATATAACATAAAAACATAATATTATATTTAGATATAATATGAAAGAGGAAACAAAAAAAAAATTGGAACTCACCATATTAATAAAATGAAATTGAAGAGATAGAGAGGATAATATAATATATTAGTGTAGAGAAAAGTGAGGGTTTATATATAAGTGAGTAGAAAGATGGAATGGCATTATACATAAAGAAGAAGAAAATCAAGAGGTTAGAAAAAATTGTAACTACACAAATACTTATTAGGTCATGCATTAAAATCTTATGTATTTATTTTTCATAAATTTTAAGTATTTATTC